TGAAGGGGCGGGCACCTTGCCCGTGTAGAGCGACGAGCCAAACGAGAGGATCTTGCCGTTGGGGGCCACGTTGACGTTGAGGTCGGCGTCGGCGACTTCGAGGCCGTTGACGAGCTGGCGGACGTAGTAGTGCGAGATGCCGCTCTGCGGGTCGGTGTACGAGTCGGGCCGGACGTAGAAGTCGACGCTGCCGGCGGCGGCGGCCTCGTCGGACTTGGCGCGGGAGCCGGGCGCAAGGCCGAGGAGGTGGCGAGCGAGGCGGCTTGCGACCGAGTGCGGGTCCTTTGCGCCGGGTTCGGCGTTGACGGCGTGGATGGCGGCGGTGTGGGCGAGCTTGATTGCGTCGTGGGCCGAGAAGCCGCGGGCGCCGAGGGCGGGCGGGTCCGCGACGGGATCAGCCGAGGCAAAGACCTGCTTGAGCTCGGGGCCCCATGCGAGCGACTTGCGCGAGGGGTCCTGGGGGCGGTGTGCGTGGCCGAGGGCCGAGACGAGGGAGGCGTCTGCGGACTGGGGTGCGCTGGTGAGGGCGGTGAGGGCGAGCCAGACGGGCAGCAGCGCCACGAGGGCAAAGAGGCGGCGGCGCCCGGCCGTCGTCGATTGGCTGGCCATCGCTGGCAGTGCGGCGGTGGATTGAGGAGAGGTGGAGAGTGAGGCGAGGTGAATGGAGGCGAATAGGGGGAATGGGGGGATGAGAGATGGGATACAATCTAGGAGCAGGAGCGGGTTGCCGTCCGTCTAGGTGATGGTGCCGCCTCTATCCGTGCGGTGGGACCGTCTTGAAGCGAAGCGTGAGCAGTAGAGGTTGTCGGTCGACGAGCGGTGTGGACGACGACGACGACAGAGGTGGTGGTGGTGGTGGACGAGGAGGAGGAGGGGAGCCGGGTGCGCTCGTGCTTTATGGCGGTGGCGGCAGCGGCAGCGGCAGCGGCGGCAGCAGCAGCGCAGAGGCGCAGAGGCAGCAGGGTCGCAGGTGTGGTGCGGTGCGGCGTGCTGGACCGGTGTTGGGCGAGGCCGGCAGGCAGGCAGCCTAGGGCGAGGGGCGAAAGGGCGAGGGGCGAGCGGCGGACCCTGCGTGCTTGCAGCCCTGGCTGAGCGCTGGCTGGCTGACCCGGCCTGGGGTGGCCGGCCAGACCCCTGGCCTCTCCCTTGGCTGCCCTGCTGCGCACCCTGCCTAGCCTGCCTGGCCCTGCGCTGCCTCCAACTTTTTTGGTTGTGGAGCAGGTCAGGCCAGGCCAGACAGCCTAGGCGCGGGTGGGGGTGGCCGACAAGCGAGCTAGAGAGACCACAGCCGGCGCCCGGCCGGGGTTGGCTGGCTTGCGCGGCCTGGCCCCGTATCAGCGAGATGCCAGCTGGTAACAGCGAGATACCAGTTGACAGGCAGAGGCAGGCTAGGCTGACCCGCACGGCGCTACCCCGGCCTAGCTTATCGGCGGCGGGCCGGCTTGGTTGCCGCACGCCGCGCCCCCTGACTTGGCTGCTGCTTGCTTGGCTCGCGTGATTGAGGCGGGGTCAGGGTCAGGCTAGCATCCTATGGTTGGGCGCTGCGATAGGCCAGAGACGAGACGAGATGAGAGGCCGGCCGGCGGGCCTGCCTGCTGGCAAATTCAAGATTGGGACCACCTCGCTCGTCGTAGATCGCGCGCGCGCCATCAAGCAGGCTGCCTCCTCTCATGATGGCGTGGCACGGTATGGCTGGTGTACGCTACGCCGCTGGCCTTGGTCGTCGTCGTCAGCCAGCAGGTGGAGCCTCCAAGATGGGCCAGACGAGAGCCAGCCAGCCAGAGAGGCAGGCACCTGGGGTCGGAGTTGAGCGAGCAGATCTACAGCGCCAGGCCGCGCGCACCTCGGCCTCATCGCGCGCGCGCACCCGGGCCAAGGCGCAGGAGCAGGCGCAGGGTCAGGGTCAGCCGGGCAGAGAGGGCCAGGCGGGCAGGGGACCAACCGGGCGATTTTCCCTAATATCGGGGCGTGACCAACCCAATCGGGAACTCAAACGCCGCCAAGCCGGGTCGCGCCTCGACCGTCAAAGGGAGGCCAGGCCTGGCTGGGCCCAGCTTGGCACGACACGCGCAAGGCATGGTTGGGGTGCGCAGCTCGAAGGACAGGACAGGATAGGGGCACACAGCAGGTAGACGTCCATCGACGGCCAGTCCAGGAACGGCTCAGGAAGCATCTGCTGACCATGGCCATGGGCCCCTGCCAGCGGCCACGGTCTCCTAGCCCCCGTGTGCCCTCTCGCAGCGACGTTGCGCCAAAGCACGAACAGGCATCGATCGGCACCAGCGCCACTCGCCACCGAGACCGAGACCGAGACCGATATCGACACACGCACGCAAGAATACGTCAAAGGGTAGGGGGGCCAGCGTCGTACGCCCGCCGCGTCTCGCCGCCAGGCCACGCCAGGCCACGCCAGGCTACATGCCCGACCTCGGCCCGGCTGCCATCTAGACGGCTCGCTGCCGACGACGGCGACGACGACGACGACGACGACGCTGCCCCACTCTTTTTTCTTCTCGCATCGTCGAGCACTGCTGCTATACTTACTCGGCCGCTCCACCACCACCAACCCGCAGCTCAGTGACTTGGCGGCTCGGCATTGCTGCCGCTCCCCGCGCCGCCGCCGCCGCCGCTCGGCACGCCCACTGTCGAAGACGCTTCGCTGCCCGGTCCCGCAGAGACGGGCAACGGCGGTCCCATCGGCCGTCCACCCCCGGGCTGCATCCCAAATTGCTGCGGTGGCGGGTACGGCATTCCGCCCACTGAAGTGCAGGACAAGAGCGGAGAGGCAGGAGACAAAGTCAGACGGGGCGTCGTCGTCAGTCGGTCGTTCGTCGTCAGTCGGGCGGCCGTTGCATCGCACGTCTGCTTGGCCTGGTCTGACCTGGCCAACCGGGGCTTCTACTCACTCGGACCACCGGGCTGTGGCGATGGGTAGTACATCTGCTGCGGATGACCCCCCTTGCCGGGCTGCTGTTGCTGCTGCTGGCCGCCCTGCTGCTGCTGCAGGTGCGGCGGAGGCGGACGAGCTGGCGGACCGCCCTGCCCTGGCGGCATAAACTGCTGCCCCGGAGGCGCCATGTTGCCCATCTGCGGGCTGTACAGCGGCTGGCCCCCAGAGTGCGGCGGCATCGGCGGCGAAAACGGCATCTGCCCCATAAACTGCGGCGGCATCCCGCCGTACTGCACCGGCCCGCCCTGGCCGTTGGGCGCCATCTGCATCGGCTGCACCATGCCGCCGCCGTGGTGCTGCTGCTGCTGCTGCTGCCCGCCGTGACCGCCATGTCCGTGGCCGTGGCCGTGGCTGTGGCCGTGGGCGAGGCCCTGCCCCTGGCCCGGACCCCCCTGCTGCTGCTGCTGCTGTTGCTGCGGAGGCAGAGGCTGGTGCTGCTGCGGGTGCGATCCGGGCGGCGGCGGAGGTGGCGCCATCTGGCCCTGCATCTGCGGCGGATGCGGGTGCGGTGGCTGCTGCTGCTGCTGCTGCCCTTGCTGCCCTTGCTGCTGAGGCTGGTTCTGGAAGCGGTAGGGACCGTACGGCTGGTAGACCATGCCAAACGGCTGGCCGGGACCCGCCGCGATCCCGCCAGCACCGGGCGGACCCGAGACAGGCATGTGCGGAGGCTGACCGGGGCCACCGACGCCCATCCCGGCGCCCATACCGCCTCCGCCAGCTCCGACCCCGACCCCGACACCGCCACCGTGGTGCATGTGGCCCTGCGGCATC